CAAAATGCGCGTCCAGTGTTTAAAAGCGTTTTGCTGTATTGTGATGGATTAGTGTTTTATAGTGCTGTTGTAACATCAAATGTTCCAAGCTCCAACTGTATATTAACACAATATTGTCATATATATTATTTTTGTATTTAATATTATTTTCATATTATAATTTAATATTGATTGTTGGGTATCCAATTCGTTAATTTTGGATAGGCAATAGGAAAAGTTCTATAATTTTATCACATGTTAACGGAAGAATGTTTTATCACTCACATTTTTTTAATAATGTTAAAGTCAGCTAAATCAGTTTTAATCATCTAATAATATTTAGTATTACACACCAAACATTTCAACCAACATTATTAATATTTTAAATAATATATATATCATCATCAACCAGTCTGAAGTGTCCACTGCTGGCCGTAGGCCTCCCTCAAATCTTTCCACTCTTCTCGGTCCTGTGCCACTTGGACCCAGTTTCCCCTAAATCTCTTTAAGTCATCTGACCATCTTGTCGGAGGTTTGCTTTTGTGTCTGAGAGCATCCTGTCTTGGCCGCCATTCTAGTATTAGCTTGGTCCATCTATCATCCGTTCTTCTGGCAATATACCCAGCCCAGTTCCATTTGAGTTTTTTAAGCAGATATATAGCAACTGTTATTCGTGTACGCTGTTTTATAACTGTACTGGGTATCTTGTCTCTTAGAGATACACCAAGCATTGCTCTTTCCATAGCTCCTTGGACTACACGGATTTTTTCTATGGACTTTTTCGTCAGTGTAAGTGTCTCTGCGCCATATGTAAGTACTGGCATAACGCACTGATGGAACACCTTCCTCTTTAAGCACATTGGTAGATCTGATTTTAACACATATCTTTATAGTTTGCCGAATGCTGCCCATGTTAGTCCTATTCTTATTTGTATCTCGTGCGTCTGGTTATCGCGACCAATTGTTATTTTGTGCCTCAGATATTTATATGAATATACTTATTCTATATTTGCTCCGTCTAGCTAAACATTTCCACTAATAACAAGATTGGTCATTGGTTTGGGTGTTGAATAATTTATGCGTAGTCCAATTTGATCTGACGCCCGTTTAAGTGTTTCTAGCATATTTTGTGCTTCGTGTATTTTGTCCGTAATCAGCACCAAGTCATCAGCAAAACGCAGGTTATTGAGCATTTCCCCGTTAACATTAATGCCCAGTTCCTCCCAGTTTAGTCTTTTGAACATATTCTAATAGTGCTATGAACAATTTGGAGGAAATGGTATCGCCTTGCCGTACTCCTCTTTTAATACGGAATTTATTTGTGTTTTCATGTAGCGATACAGATGCTGTTGCATGGTCGTATATATATTTTAAAAGGTATAACGGGTATCTATACGACATTCGGCTAGGGTCTTGAATAATTTGTGTTGATCGATAGAGTCGAATGCCTTTAAAATGAGGGGTTTATTATACTCAACACATTTTTCTATTAGGGACTTCACCACCAACAGATTGTCATTTGTACCGAAGTTCGATCTAAATCCAGCCTCTTCTTTTAGTTGATATTGTTCTAGTTTTAGGGAGAGACGATTTGTGAGGATTAGGGAGAGACGATTTTTGTGAATAATTTGTACGTGTAGCTCAGTAAACTAATAATAGGCTGGTAGTTGGTAAGGTTTGTTTTGTCCCTTTTTTTTATGTAATAGGATTATATTGGCATTATCCCATTCTGATGGTGTTCTTCCTTCCAAAGACATTTCTTGAACAATATTTGCATTGAGAACCTTTTCTCCTCCTTCTTTAATTGCTTCAGTAGCTATATTGTCGTCACCGGCAGACTTATTATTTTTTCATACATTTGCCGCCGATATTTCATCTAAAGTAATATCTGGGATTTCTTCTGAGCCTTGATTCATCACAGTTGGTATGGTTATCACGAGTTTCTAGGGGTTTGGGTTGTCATATAACTGCTGGTAGAAATTTTTCCGTAAACACACAGAATATCTGCTCTATTTGATGTTATCTCTCCTTCTGCGTTTTGCAACTTTGAATTAGTGCCCTCCCTTATGCTTGCCTCTTTTGAAAAACTTTTAATCCTTGATTTCTCTCAATGAGTTGCGTTATTTTGTTGGTATTGTGGGTTCTGATGCCTTTCCTTATCTCTTTTGATATCTTCTTGTTAAGTTTCCTATAATCATCTGAGTGTTTGTTTGTCATAACTCTACGGTGTTTTATCAGATCTTTAGTGTTTTGGGTTAGTTTTGTGTTTCCCTGATTATCTTTTTTAGGACAATTTTCTTTAAGAGCTTGCGTTAAAATAGTTTCAATGTGATTATTTATATCTTTAATCTCCATATTTTCCATTCTTTCCAGATTTCCTAAGTTTTCAGCTGCCATTGCTCTATATTCTTCTGGCTTTTGGTGTTACCCATTTTCTCGTGGTCCTCTTCTTTATCATTTTTCGTCGTTCAGATTTAAGGTTCAATCTAGGTTGAATCTCTATCTTTAATCAATTCTAGTTCGAACTATTCGGTGGTCACTTCCTATAGAGAATTCGCTGTACAGTACTTGTACATCTCTAATTATCCATTTTTATCAGTCATGATGAAATCTATTTCGTTCTTGGTAATTCCGTTTGGACTTGCCCAGGTCCATTTTTCAGTCAGATAAATTTTAGGCTAGTTTAATTATTCAATACTTTTTCGTAAAACTATTTCTACAACTCTCATAAAAAATACGATTTAACAAATATCTGAACTTTATACTTTTAACGAATAGCTGAACTTTCCAAATAAAATAAATTCATCGGGATATTTTCACTTTTTTCGGTGTTAATGACTAAAACAAGGGGTGACACATGTTGCGGTCACGCAGCCGTAGCTGCCAACTATCCAACACGAATTTATCTTACGTCACGTGCAGCCGTTTCCCATAGGACCTGCCCTCTCTAATGGAAAGAAAAAGGAGAAGGGCGGTTTGGATAACCAGGATGAGGGCAGCGATGTAGAAGTCGGGCGAAGCCATCTGAATTTGTTAAAATCAAATAATTATTGTCAGCTCGAAGTTCGGTATTTCTATGCGTGGCGGAAAAACTTTAATGAAAATGTCAATAATATTTTGGAGAGGAATATTCGGCTTTCGCTTCTTGATGGATGGGCTTATCGGTCTTATTGAAAATTAGGATTTTTTAAATATAAAGTTTTTTAAAATTAAATACTCTCTATCCCCCTGCTTAGATATTAATTAAACTTATCTACTTTAATTCAGCGAAAATCCTATAATAACGGTGTCTCAGGAATAAATGCAAGTATTTTATCGGTAGTATCATAGCATAAAGAAACAAGTAGTTTTACTCCTTGTCAAATCCTTTGTTCTTTTTCTGCCACTTTATTTGATCTTGTTCTCGCGTCACGTGACTACTGATGTAGCTGTATAGTCGAGATCTATAACTAGGCAAAGTATAGTCGTGGTACTCGCCATAGTTTCCCAGAGATGTATTTAGGAAAATATGAGTTCACAATAAAATAAAATAAAAAGAAAATAATAATCGAGTAAAAATTTGATTGAAAACAGAATATTTTCGCATTTCGTGTAAGTAACAATTCTTCTGTGTCTGAAAATCTTCTGATGGAAAGAATTGAAATACTTGTGAGTGCCATTTGTTCAGTTTGATAATATGTTTATAGTGCTTCGAGAGAATTCAATGTTACCACCTTCTATGTTATCCACATTCTGTATGTTTATAAGTTATAAGTTCACATTTTATAAATTTCTACAAAAAAAAAATAGTGATTCACTCCTATACGAGTACATGTAAATGCCGATCCAAGGTTTGGCTTGCCAGGATGGTATATGCTCACAACATTTTATTTCAATACAAAGTGTCGTTTGCCTTGGGCCCTCTGGAAACACCAATAGGTAATTAGCGATTTTTTTCACTGTGATAGAGCTATGAATGTGTAGAAAAAAGTCAAAATTGGTCGTATTTAAAAAACCACTAAGTAGCTATAGACTATGACATGATATTTTTGGAATAGGTATTTTATGTCAAATGCATTATGCAAAAAATTATGAGCAACTTTGGTATAACAATATATTTGAATTAAATAGATATGGAACTTTTTTATAAAAATAGGTCACCTTGTATACAACTGTTTTCGTACATTTGTTTACTCATTTATCATGTTTTGTCGTCTATATCATCACATTTTCTTCTGAGCTGTCGTCTTGCTCAGAGTTCAATAACTTTAGTGAAATATCGTCTTTCTGCATATTTTTTTTTGTTTTTTTTTACATTTGCAACATTTACACCAACCGTAAATCGTTCTCCAAAACATTCTCCAGTATTTATAACAATTATTTCTTTGTACAGGAGCTGCAATGATGTATAGAAAATAAATCATTGAAACTGTTCATCAGATTTCTGACTTTATATAACTTCAACACAATTCGTTCTATGTATTTCCACAGATAACATAAATTATATGTTATCTGTGTTATTTCTAATAACTATTTATAAATTCAATT